CCCGGCCGAATCTGTCCACCTGGGAACGCAAGCGTCGGCGAAACGTTCACGTCGACGTCTGTACACCTGCATTCTTCCATCGCGTCGTTCCAATAGAAATCGTGATTCATCAATGAACCAGATTCTACGCCATTTCGGTATGTTCCAGGCCTGAACGTTGGTGCACCATTGAACTCGATGTCGACGATGGTGTCGTTGAAGCACAGGGCCAAAATAAGGTCTTCTGGCACGTAAACCAGCCTCTCTCAACCTGTTCCTGACGGTCTGTGAACCATAGGACTAAGTGCACCAAACAGAGCAAAACCTTTTGTAAAATGAATCACGTTTTAATTCATTGCTACATGAAATTGCTATTTTAATGATGCGTTTCTTTTTTGGGAGAGTATATTTATTATTATAATAGCAAACCAAAACAAATCTGTGCAGAAAGCCTCCTCAATCCGGGTATTTGTCAAGCGGTACTGGTCGCCTCAGCTGTTCGATGACGCAGGTGATGTACCCGGATGTAGCGATCCTGCGCCGCAGTGGTCGCTCGAGGTCGCCCACTACGAGGGGCATCTGCTACCGCATTCTGCCGGCGATATCTCTCCCAGAGCCGTGAAATGGTGCTTTGGTGAACATTCATGCGTCGGGCAACTGCACGTTGAGACTGGCCAGCTTCAAGCAAACCAATGGCGACATGACGGTTGGCTTCACTTAGACGTGGCATTTTGCGTTCGTCAACAATATTCCAAATACAGTGAATAATCGACAGACAGCGATCAACCTTTTATACCCATCATTGAGACTATCTGATCCCCAACTTTCACGTGCATTGCATGTGAATTGTGTATTCTGTGACACTACACGCCGAAATTGAAAATCATGCTGTTAAATACGGGTATTTTACAGATGGTGCGTTTTGTTGTGATGTTTCAAAACATAAACACCATAGGACTCATAAACAGAGCAAAACCTTTTGTAAAATGAATCACGTTTTAATTCATTGCTACATGAAATTGCTATTTTAATGATGCGGTTTTTGTGGGGAGAGTATATTTATTATTATAATAGCAAACAAAAACAAATCTGTATAACATAATAGCAAGGTCGAGGTTAAGGTTCGGTGACTTACCAAAACATTGTGTTGCACCAAAGTACACTTCCACAAATTGATCAAACGTCGAGATACTGGCAAAATGAAACACCACTGTTGTCTCCTGTAGATAATTTTTTATGACAAGACAGTATGTAAAACAATAAATGGAAATAGAAACTTTTTCTTCGGTGTGATGGTAGGGTCATCATTTATATGACACCATACAAGGAAATAATTTTTTCTCCAATTGTTATGTGACAAAACAATGTAGATTCTACTTTCTGGATACGAAGGTATATGATCCCTTTTTCCTTTGGACAATTATGTTAATTTCAGAAAAAAGTGCGACAAAGTCATTTCCATAATTATAATGAATATCGAGTAAAAGCTCGGTCCTTTGCCTTATTTCGACGTTTGAGATAGGAAATCTGGAACTCATTTCACGAATGTTAAACCCATCTTATCCATCTTCGTTTAAGAATCTTCTTCTTTTGAACACTAACATTTACATGTATAGTACAACATGGTGTCTTCAAAGACACCGGGCCAATCCATTTGAGATTGTATTCAATGCAATGTAATTTTCAACATCGGACACAAAGAGACAGTTCGTATTTTTCCTATTTTCAGGCTGATCCAGACATACTGGAGTAAATATTATATCCTAGCCATTAAGGGAAATAAAAAATAAACGGATGTATAAAAGAAAGTACACACCTGGTGTTTTGTGACTATTTTCAAAGAACGAAATATTTTGACAATCGCTTTGACTGCGACGACTCACAACGGCTACACAACGTTATGCGACTATTGGGATGGTCCGTGGAGATGTCTCAACGTTAGGTGGTTGCGTATTTCCATCGCCGAAACACCATTCAAGCACTGCTGAGATGTGATCAGAACAATAATGAAATTACCGATCGCAGGACGTCCACGCGTCACAACGCCAAGACAGGACATACAGATCTGGCTTAACCACATTTGACAAAGGTTCCAGACTGCAGTGACCACTGTCCAGACCATTCGGGAACTTCGGCGTATCCGTAGTCGACCACGTCGTTCCGCCATACGACCTATCCTGACGCATCATCAGGAGAACCGTCAAAGGTGGTGTGGTAAAGGAATGTTGTTTTTACATATTTAACATTTCCCGTACAAAAAAAATGTAGTAACAGATGTCAACGTGTCTACTAATGTCTTGGGTCTTGGGGAGCGTTATGCTCAGGCCTTTGTCCCCGAATGGAATCCTTAGTAATTCCATGATTTGTGGTGGGATTTGTGAGTGGCTGTCTCTTCATTCATTTTTATAACGAGTGTGTTTTGAATGCACTGCTATTTGAAAACAGAATGGTCCATGCCTCTACGCTTGTATAAAAATATGAGCATGTTCCTTGGCAGTCTCACAAAACCGTTTTGGTAAAGCCATATTCAAGATTTGTCTAATTCAGTTCGGCCTTTAAGACAACTCCCCTCCTTCAGTTCATTAGAAAGGATAATGCACCTTCAGCTGAATGATGTCACACCTAGTATGTGTATTGTGTAAACAATCATATGCCCCTTCACGGCTTTAAATCAAAGTGTGGGGCGGTGGGGTAGCCTAGTGGTTGAAGCGTTGGTTCGTCACGCCGAAGATCCAGGTTCGAATCCCCACATGGGTACAATGTGTGAAGCCCATTTCTGGTGTCCCCGCCGTGATGTTGCTGGAATATTGCTAAAGCGGCGTAAAACCAAACTCAGTCAGTCAGTCAGTAAATCAAAGTGATGTGAGCATCCGGTTAAGTTCGATCAGTTGTGTGCTATTATGCAGTGGAATGTGAAACATAAAGGCCCATACGCCCCTCAATTAGGAAACTGATTTTTCTACCTGTTAGCTGTCACTGACACTAAATAAATGATCACCTTCGAGAATATCCATAATGGCGCGCTGCAATGGTTTTACAAAACTGTTTCTGTGAAACATTACCCACATTTCTGTGACCTTTGACAATCGGCTCAACAGGCAAACCGACATAAAATTTTCTATTTCAAGAGGGTTTTTTCTGAAAGATTGATACAATGACATGTATATATTGGTGTTTTAAATTCTCAGGAAAAAAATAACCTTCATCATCGTTGTGACCTTGACTTTACACGTGTTTCATACAACGTCGGTGCGATCAAGGCCAAAGCCCTACTGATTGTGACAAATTTTAAGTAACGTCAGATTCCAGTTACAGATACTCAATTTATGGTGTACATAGGAACTTCATGCTTATTTCTACATGATGTCCTCACGGGGTGTAAAGAATGAGTGAATGAACTTCAGGCTCATTCATATCATTATCATCAGAAAAGTATCCACACATTGTACCCATTTTGGGAATCGAACCTGGGTCGGCCTGACGCTAACGCTTTAACCATTCCAGCAATACCCCACCGCCCCTGGACAGGCGACATGCATCAGGCAGTATGCATCGGGCTTCAGTAACAGATTGGGTTGTCGTCGGTTGTTGGCAAACATAGCATTCTGGGAAATACGAATTGTCCAGATCTGAAGGATGAATGAGTGGATTTGAGGCATCAAACGCATATCAGTGATATCACACGTGTCGGCGTATTGTGTCATCCGAGGTGATGGAGATCTAAGATTCCGAAACTCTGATCAAACTTACGATGACAAGTATGGTGAACCAGGGTGTCATTGCACAAATCAACTTTTAGCTTGCAGTCGTAAGTCTATGTTAAGTAGGGCTGCGCAATATAACCGGTTTACCAGTGTTTACCGGGTCAGACATGAAAATGATACGGTTGTGCGATACGCTGATCGAAACCGATATTTTGACTTTCATTCGGAAAACTTCGTAACACTCGGAAATCTTCGGATATTTCCATGTTTCATTTATTGCCAAATATTATTTACATTTTTATTTTGTCATGATTAAAGGTTTTTAATAAAGCTTAATCAAGCATAGTGATTTTGTTGCGTCCATGCTTTATAAATCAAGCATTAAACTCGATTATACGTAGTTTTGTGTTTAATAATACTTCTTGCAATATATTACAATACATATCGCAATATACACTAAACGCCAAAGAAACGTTACCCTCCTTCCTTAATGACGGAGGTACCTATCTTCAGCTGGCGTTCTGATGCGTTGACGTCCACTTCTCGGTCTGTCGGTCTGTCTGTCTGAAGCCCTGAATAAGTCTTATAACCGTGATATGGTGGCATCCGAGGGCGTTGGCAACAGCATTGTATGTCGACCCCATCTGCACCATCCCAATGGCTCTTTCTCCCTCATCAGCTGTTAATCGTGACATATTTCTCGTACTTGTGTATCATATCATGTATTCTAGGCTCTCTTCATACCCTATAGAATCATTCTACATGTGAAATGGATGCAAATATTGCTTGAATATTGCTGCGTTTTGGCGATTGATATTGCTGCCATGTAAACAGAAAATAGAAAAATGTTACTGCAAGCAAGCAAAATGTTAACAAAGATAATTTTAGGTGTTCCTAAACAGTGTTTCACAATATCAAAGACACGTTGTACTTGTTTTCACTAATGAAAATCAGCAGAAAATGTTTTAAAAGACTAGGAAATCATGGGAATGGTTATTGTACAAGTTTAAACACTCTACAACACTTGTTTTTGTTTTAATAGTTGAAAAATGGTGACTTTCAATGGTTTATCATTGTCCAAAACAGAAATTTATTTCAACCTTTCTTTGGACATCAAAATCACTGTTATTGCAATATTTCTCTGCAATACCCACCCCTAATGTTAAGGTATGGGTGTTACCTTAGCCCTAAGATCGCTTTGTACAACGGCACCCCGGATTCGAACACATGCAACTCTGCACTATAAACGACTGGACCACCCCTCCCTTTGAAAGAGGAGCCATTTCCATGCCCATTAAATGACATAACACATCATGATATAATTCAGGCTTGGTTTATTCACACTACGTTTCTGTACAACGTTTAAAAGAATATGTTGTAAATATGCACCGTGTATCTACTCCACAACCTTTAGCTGCAAGAGTCGATTGTACAGATTTTCACGGCGTAGAATAATGAAGTTCCTTGTTATTCAGTGGTATCTACATTCGAGTTTCTTCATTTTCCATAGGTTCTACTTGAACAGCTTGTAGAGGACGTGTATAGGTATGTCCGCAAAGTACGGATATTTTAGCTGACTTGCATATTCTGAAACATACAATAGAGAATATTATATCAGAAGAAAAAGAACACAAGAATGACATCATTCATGTACAAAGGTAAGCTACCTCAGCAACAGTTGATTTATATGCAGTACATGCATATGTGTGCACATGCATTGCCACAATACAGGTCATGTACTAATTACATCTACGGATACAATAAACTACGTTTATAACCAACTCAAAAAGGACGATTGTTCGTCCAATGCATTTCGACTAAAGTAGGCAGGTAGGCAGTAAGCGGTGACAGTTCGTTATAGCCGTCAGTTTGTTGTAAACGTGTTCGTTTTAAATGTAGCATACTTCAGGACGTTGGATAAATGTCTAAGATGCTTTTCATTAGTTGTAGATACACAGGGGCGGATACAGCTTTTTCTGAAATTTGGGGGGACACGGTTCACTCTCACCCGTTTTCACGAGTTTCAAAGGTCATTTAATAAACTTTGAGGACAAAAAAAAGAAATGGGGACGGGTGCGCACCCCTGCACCCCATTCCCTCTGGATCCGCCTATGGATACAAGATATATATGCAAGCAGGTTCTTCCTTGAGCTAAAAAGGGTATGTGTGTTCACTTAATCACAGTAAAATGTTCACATAATCAATGTAATCTACACCAATATTCAATACGACTAGAATACGGTTCGTATGTACACTTAATCAATATAATCGGGGCGGTGGGGTAGCCTAGTGGTTAAAGCGTCCGCTCGTCACGCTGAAGATCCGGGTTCGAATCCTCACATGGGTACATTGTGTTAAGCCCATTTCTGGTGCCCCATGATGTTCATTGCAACGCGGCCTGTAACAACCTCACAATTCAGGTTGATCGTACATAACACTACCACAGTTGGAGAAAATAACCAGAAAAGTGCTGGTTGACTTACCCACAGATGACTGTAATGATCAGGATCAGGGAAACTGCACCAGCACAAGCACCAGTTATTGCCCATGTTGTGAACGTTAGGAGCGGTGATGACGTTGCAGTATTTCCATCTAAGTAATTACAAAAAGCACACGTCAGTCATTTCGTAGCGATACATAAACACATGCTCTGTCACCGTATCGCATGGTGACAATCACTGGAGTGTCTGGCCCAGACTAGATTTGTTCACAAACGGAATCGTACCGATGTAATACTGCTGAAACAAATATACATGTATGCTCATGATATAGTCACAATTGTACAATCGACTGTGCTTTAGCAGAGATTTCTCATGAATGTGGAAAGGGGGTTGTCGCTTCTATGTAATATCTTTGATTGAGCACATGATTTCATCTCCAATACAGTGACACCCAGTGACGTGTCTTTTGGCTTCTACTCCTTCAGACTATCTGAACGCCTATTGTGATCTGGACACTTTATTAGATACTTTGTGTTATTTGTTTGTTGTTCTTTTTGTTGTGAAATGCTGCACTCAGCAATATTCAAGCTATATGGCGGCGGCCAGTAAATAATATTAAGTAACATTTTCTTAACCAGACAATCCAGTGATCAACATTATGAGCATCGATATACGCAATTGGGATAATATGACATATATCAACCATATCAGCTAGCCCGACCACCCGATTTCGTTAGTCGCCTCTCTTTCGACAAATAAAAGCTGAATCCCACGAACACAGGCATGGTGATGGTAAACTATGCGCATGTAGGATTCCATTCAACCGTCATCGGATCCTGGTACGCTAAAGGGACGTAAATTTGTAAATCGATCTTTGTCCCTAAAGTGTTATTGGTGTCAATAGGACAGACAGACAGCTTTAATGTGGGCCTAATGGTATATGATACAGTTCACAATTCATTTGAATAAATGAACGGTTGTCAATATCGGTGTATAAAGGCTGGTCTAAGTTTGAAGATGGGGTGACTACGTGGCGGATTTTAGACATAAAAATAGCTGGGGTGAGTGAGTGAGTATAGTTTTACGCCGCTTTTAGCATTATTCCAGCAATATCACGGCGGACGACACCAGAAATGGGCTTCACACATTGTACTCATGTTGGGAATAGAACCCACATTTTGCAGCTTTGAGAAGTATTCATGCTGGTATTTCTGACATACAAACTAAACCATGGTTTTCATTTTCAATTTCCCGAGCATGACAGTGTGGACAAAAGAATTCTGTTATTGGTGTATCCTTGTTATTCTTATGTTGACTTTGAAGGTGTTGTGGATATTCGACATTTACAAAATGCCTGGATCAAATGGTCAAGTGAGTAATCATAGAGGAACTTGGAATTACTGATTTCTGTATGCCATGTTTGATAGGTGGTATCCATAACTCTCTGTGAGTGAGTGAGTGAGTGAGCATGGTATGATTTAACGTCGTTTTTAGCAATATTCCGGTAATATCACGGCGATGTACACCAGAAATGGGCTTCACACATTGAACCTATGTAGGGAATCGAACCCGAGTCTTCCGTGTGACGAGCGAACGCTTTAACCACCAGGCTACCCCATCGCCCCGCCTGGCATTAAGAGGACATGACAATTGTCAATAGCTTAATAGGATATCAATGACAAAATGTAACTTGGTATCTAAGGTGGCTAGCACTGTTTTACTGGACCAGTACAAGTAGCCAACACACACTGCAATTTTACTACCGGAATATTGCGAAACGTTCAACCCTATTAACCTCATCAATGAGGTGTTTTCTGTATATCAGCATCACTTCTACAATCATTTCTTTAAATGCATTTAAATTATTCAATATATATCCGAGTACTTTTAACCTTTTGTAACATATCATTGTTTTAATTAAATGTAGTATTGATGTTTCAAACCCTTATTTCTCACTGAATATTAGTTCAAAGCATTTAACACTACTAGCGTATTTCCGTCACATGATGAAGGTATACACTAACAACGAATAAAGACTTCACACTTACATAGTGCATCTGATGTGTTTGTCATGAGTAGGTAAGAAGCTTGGACATCTTATTTAAAAATGAAATATCAAAGGGTTATTTGCTCTGCATGTGATAAACAAGGAAGGTTTCAGTTATTTTAAATGATCACTACCAACTGCCTGTATGGAGGAATGTTTCGTGAGTTAAGCTGACACATCATAGACGGTTGTTTCAGTTTCTACAAGCGCTGAAAACTTCCCGGTCCGGGTACTGTAAGTGTTATGTCCGCCGCAACAACCATGATATCACAAGCAAACAGTATCACACCACTGTCCGTCGTGTCGCTGCGAGGATTAAAGATTGAGATTAAAAATTGAGAGGACCCCCGACTCACAATGCTTCACAATACAACATTTATTGTACTGTGTGTCACGCCCGATATATTCCCAAACATAACAGGGCGGTGGGGTAGCTTAGTGGCTAAAGCGTTCTCACGTCACGCCGAAGACCTGGGTTCGATTCCCACATGGGTAGAGTGTGTGAAGCCCATTTCTGGTGTCCCCCGCCGTAAAACCAAACTCACTCACTCATCCAAACACAACCGATGTTGACCACTTTCTGAAAGGCGTTCTGCATTCACAGCAGACAGTAGGTACGAACGAAGGCTTCAAATATATTGCTGAACATTGTATGTAAAAACATAAAATATAGTGTTTGTGAGGACTCATTGCACTCACTCGCTCACTCACTGACTCACTACGCTCAACTCCAATCAACCTCACTCAACCCACCCCATCCCGATCTGACCAACCAACCAGACCGCCCACATTTCCCCACACCACTCCCACCCAACCAATTTACACCAACCTACCCTACCTAGCTTATCCCACCCCATCCCACCACCAGGCCTTCAGAACCTCACTCACATCAACCCACCCAACACCACTCACAACCCACCACCCAGACCCACTTACACGAACCTACCCAGCCCCAATCCCACGAACCAACCCAGGACCACTCATGACCCACCACCCAGCTCCCCACTTCACATCAACCCTCCCGGTCCCACTCACATCCATCCACCGAGCCCGACTCACATCAACCCACCCAGCCCCACTCACACAAACCAACCCAGGACCACTTCACAACCCACCACCCAGACCCACTTACACGAACTCCACTTACCCAGCCCCACTCCCACGAACCAACCCAGGACCACTCATGACCCACCACCCAGCCCCACTCACATCAACCCTCCCGGTCCCACTCACATCCATCCACCGAGCCCGACTCACATCAACCCACCCAGCCCCACTCACACAAACCAACCCAGGACCACTCACAACCCACCAACCAGCCCCACTCACACCAACCCACCCAGGACCACTCACAACCCACCACCCAGCTCCACTCACATCAACCTACCCAGCCCCACTCACAACCCACCACCCAGCACCACTCACACCAACCCACCCAGCCCCACTTACACCAACCCACCCAGCACCACTCACAACCAACCGATCTGACCAACCCACCAGAACGCCCGCACTTCCCCTCACCGCTCCCACCCATCCCATTTACGCCAACCTACCTTACCTAGCTCATCCCACCCCATCCCACCACCCAGGCCTTCAGAACCTCACTCACATCAACCCATCCAGCCCCACTCACATCAACCCACTCAGCCCAACTCACAACCCACCACCCAGCCCCACTCACTTCATACCACACAGTCCCACTCACATCAACCCTCCCAGCCCCACTCACATTCCACCATCGAGACCCACTCACAAGCCACCACCCAGCCCCACTCATCAGCCCTCCCAGCCAAACTCACTTCATACCACACAGACCCACTCACACCATACTGGTCCGCCGGACACTCACACACGCCACGCCACACCACACCCACCACACCCACCACACCACACCACAGCACAACACCACAACACACTACACCACACCACACCACACCACACCAACCCAACCCAACCCTGCACGCACCACCACCCTCAAACCACCCAACCCCAACGCACACCGACACGTCCCACTCTGTTCACACGAAAACACACACACAACCACACTCACACCACACAACCCCATCAGTCTCACAACATACAACCCCACATCACCCTACCCCATCTTTCTCAGAACACAACAGGGGTAGCCTAGTGGTTAAAGCGTTAGCTCGTCACGCCGAAGATCTGGGTTCGACTTCCCATGAGTACTATGTGTGTAGCCCATTTCCGATGTCCCCAGCCGTGATATTGCTGGAATGTAGGTCCCGTAAGTAGGTCACGTCACTTCTCGAGACGTTAGTACTTCCGGTGACAAACAACGTTTCATACCTTTTCCAGTGGTCTCATGGTTGTCAGTTGACAGTAGGCCTAGGGAACCGATAATCCTTGCAGGAATAACACATTTCCGATCTAACCATCCCCAAATTAGCCAACTTTTACGACTGTCAACAGCTGTGACAGCCAAAGATGGTTGTACACTTGGTTTAGTAAAGTTATATTTGGCGGTCGCGCAATTTGGAACCACAAATGGTTTGGATATACGCTTGTCACCGTAAATCTGGTACCGGAAGTAAACTGGACTCATATCGCAAATTGGCGCGCCAAGGAGTCGGTAACCAGCTTAGTACCGGAAGAAGCGCCTCGCGAAACTCACAGGCCCTATTACTAAAAAGCGGCGTAAAACCATACTCACTCTCTCACACACAACACAACCCTCAAACTCACACAAATGAACATTTTCCGTTTCCCTTTACTGTGTAAACATCGGCAGTTGGGCAAATCTGTTAGGTTGCCGAGACACACCGTACTCACCACGTGCCAGCTGTGTGACCTTCACACAATCAACCGGGTCCCGGGTTGCTGTGGATTCTGTTTGTGCAAGGTCATAAATATTTTCCTCATGTATACATGATACCAGTCTCTGGTCTGATTAAGGGTTAGGGGCGATTGAGTAGCCTAGTGGTTAAAGCGTTCGCCGGGTTCGATTCCCCACATGGGCACAATGTATGAAGCCTATTTATGGTGTCCTACGCCTTGATATTGCCAGAATATTGCTAAAAGCGGCGTAAATCTAAAGTCCCTCACTCACTCTGATTACGGGAAATAACCACGGCAGAATACGCTGACCTTATGTTAAACTGTCATAAGGAAGAGCCCAACTTGCTCTTTCCCGTTTCAGTTGCATATAAATCATTGTTGCCTTATTTTCATTGCTGGAGAGCCAACTCGATGAAGTCACGAACAGGATGTAAATACTACAAACCCTTTATTTGTGCTGATACATATTAATCACATTTTACATTGAAATCTCCGTGTTAAGAAAGCAGTTATCTGTTGTGAAAGTATCGTGATTTTCACATCCTCAAACTGCTGTAACTCTTAAAGTGTTGGGGCGGTGGGGTAGCCGAGTGGTTAAAACGTCCGCTCGTCACGCCGAAGGCCCGGGTTCGATTCCCCACATGGGTACAATGTGTGAAGCTCATTTCGGGTGTCCCCCGCAGTGATATTGCTGGAATATTGCTAAAAGCGGCGTAAACATAAACTCACTCACTCACTTAAAGTGTTGCACGAGCTGTACCGCCCGACAAACTTCAACATCCACTGTGGATTTGACAGAACACTTATTAACGTTATCAAAACGGTACACAGCTGGAAAAAAAATTATGTTCGAAAACACATTTTGGCGCCCGTAAAAAAATCACCATCGATTAAACATATCATGCAGCTACCGTCAAACTTCAGTGGATATTTTCTTTTGTCCGGTACTTTACACGCGACTTATTCCGGTGGTATACGAATACAATGGCGGACCTTCATTACCGCCGAGATGTACATGAATCTGGAGATAACAACATTGATACAGAAGGTTAACATCTAATGAAACCTTTACTTACTTGCCATGTTTACAATCTAAATCCTTTATTAAAAGGGCGCTGATTAAACTCCACTCACTAACGCATGTGATAAAGGTACATTAGTTGATAGATAGGTAGAAGATATTTTATTCCAGTGTCACATTCTCTACAATAAAATCATTAATAAAAGTACATAAAATATATAAATATATACATAAAGTGAGCATCAGGCCATCACGGCCTACGAGACACTAATTATTGTCATTAAAATACACAGTCATTATATGATGCATAAAATAAGAGGGAGTGAAATGGGGTGATCTGTGGGGCGAGAGAACGCGACTAGGGTTTAATATTTTGTCTACGTCTAAACATTTGAGTTACAAGTGAAGTAAGCGGCTTGTATGATTCAATTTGAGGATATTAGATAGATAAGCTGGGTAACTGGTCTGATCTGGATGATTATTTTCAGCCAAAGTTCACAACTAAGTGTGAACATAACGGGCAAACGACGAGAAAATGAACCTCGTCTTCTACACTGTGAGTATTACGGCAGTGACAATTTCTGTCTTCTTAAGCAACCTTGGAACGAGCAAACCTACACGTAAGGGGAGGGTCCCACAATGCAATTAACAGATGACTGCGTTGATATCGATCAATGGTAGAACTTACATATGGCTCGGTACTGAGATTATGCCATTTGGCTGGCCTATATCGTTCCATAATTGAGTAAGCCATTCTTGATCATCAAATATTAATAAACAAGACTTTGCTATCTGAAATTCGGATTGGGAAATAGTTGAAAGACTAGACACTGGAAGATTCCATGCAGAGATTAACTTAAGAACTTTGTTATTCCACGAAGTTCTAAATTTAAAAGAATTTACATGGATAAGTCTAGTTTGGTCAACAACGTAGCTTACGCCAAAATCTTAGAATTTCAATCCATTGTTTAGTTAGCGAAGACGTCCATTTCCATCTCGCCCCGCACTGCTAAGTTTGGGGTTTTACTCCCTACCGATAATGAGAAGCGTCAGGCGCGGTTAATTAAGTGAAATACGTGTTATTATATATTATGTGACAGGGTGGTTAAGAATGGCCGTCCGTCATGCAACCAGCCAGGGTTCGATACCGTAAAATGGGTTAAGTCCATTGATGGGTTCTGCGCCATCTCGCACGCACGCACGCACGCACGCACGCACGCACGCACAAACTAACTTAAGAAAGGCAGCTCACTACATTAT